CTGAGCGCCCGGCATGAACCGCAAGAAGCTGCAGAAGTTGACGGACGCCTTCACGAGAAATTGCAAGCACTGTAAGTAGGCACGCAGCGCGGGGCGAGCCGCAGCCCCTGGGCCAGCTGATGTCGGCGGGCGTGGCCGAGCCCCCAGCCCGATGCCCCTAAAGAGAGGTCCGGCAGAGAACCCCGGCGGCTGCCGCCTGGAACCTCAAGAGAGAGCCGGCATCTCCGCCTCCGGGGCTGTCTGCGTCCTTGCCTCTCGAACCCTCTCTTGCATCTGGAGACCTGGTGGGTACGCGCCCCGAGGCACGTGGGGCGTGGGCCCCAGTCGGGTGTAAAGAGCCAGAACCCCTGGACTCCAGGAGGGTAGCACGGCCGATGCCCCGCGCCTGCGGCCTAGCTCTGTCCGGCGCCGATGCACCTGCAGGTCCGAGTTCTAGGAGCTTGCCGAGATAGCCACAGGAGAAAGCGGGCATCGACGTCAGGACCTCTTAGGGCGGAGGAGCCGGAGGGGCCCAGAAAGGCGTGCCTCGGGGGAAGATCTGGAAACCAGAGAGCCCCGCACATCTCAACACGTGGTAAAGGCTCAGGGAGTCGTTTCCAGCCTTAGGTGTAGACTCGCTGTTGCCAGCGCGGTGGAAAGATAAAGGGGACTTTGCAGGGGACAGGAGGAGCCCTTAGGAAAGATACCCGCTCTAATCTTGCGTTTGTAAAGGTGGCCCCCTAGAATTTCATGGGAATTTCTGGAATTGTTTTCAGACCAAAAGCAAAACTGCACTTGGGCAAGGAAGCCATGAATGTGGTTTCGGTAAGGAAGACGCTGCCGGGTGAGCAGGCTTGGGAGTTCTGTGCTGATGGCAGAACTACTGGCGACTCAAGGACACAGGAGAAGCCACTATCCCCACGCACCCCGTTGCACAAAGAAGGAGGAGTAAATATGTCTTGTGTAGTCCTAGAGATTGCAATGCCCGCTAATCATCATTAGCCACTGATTTAATGAGCAGTAAAACAAAATGCTCTCTTAGTGGGATGGTGACATAATAAAACATGGTGTGTATTAGCATCCTAAAATTCGTAGGAAAAAAAGACATCCTGTAATTTAAGGGATTATTGTGGTTATTATAATCTGATGAGATATTTGTTCTGTCACTGTTTTATTCTATTTTTAATTTTATTTTGTTGTAAAGATATGCGGTACAATCCAGGATTAGGTATACAAATGGTCATTGTACAGGTAAAGTGCGGGCCCCCTTTCAGTCCCCACTTCGCCTGGTTTGAGATCAGGCACCCTTAGTGAGGAAGTGTGCCCCTTCCCCGTCCCCTGGCAGTTTCCGGCTACTGCCAGTCCTTTCTTACAGTATTATGATGATTGTTCGAGGTCGGCTTATCGGTGAGAACATGTGGTGCTCAGTGCTTTGTTTCTGTGATAGATCACTGAATATTGTAGACGCTAAAGACATCCAAGTTTCTGTGAAATTCATAATTTTGTCCTTCTTTATGGCTGCATAATATTCCATCATGTGTATGAACCACTTTTTAAAACTCTGGTCCCCTTTCTATAGGCAGCATGGTTGGTTCCATGTTCTTGCTACTGTGAGTAATGCTGCCATAAACATGCATGTGCAGGTATCTTTTTCATAGAGTGGTATAAGTTCCTCCAGGATTGGTGAGTCACATGGAAAGCCGATTTTCAGACCTTTTAGGAATCATCACACAGTTTTCCACAGAGGTGGCACTACACTCGCACCAACAGTGTAGAGGTGTTCCCTTTTCCCAGCATCCTCTCCGGCATCTGTTGTTTTTTGAGTTGCTGGCGATGGCCATCCTGACTGGCACTAGATGGTATCTCAGTGTGGTTTTAATTTGCATTTCTTTGATGATTAGTGAGGCTGAGCATTTTTTCATGTATCTGTTGGCTGCTCATACGTCTTCTTTTGAGAAGTGTCTATTCTCATCTTTTGCCCACTTTTTAATATGGCTATTTGTTTTGTTTTGGTTTTGGCTTGAGTTCCTTGTAGATCCTGTATGCTAGGCCTTTGTCAGATATACAGTTGACAGATATTTTCTCCCATTCTTTGGGCTGCCACTCTCTTGATGATTTCTTTTGCTTTGCAGAAGCTTATCGGTTTGATGTGGTCCCACTTGTCTAATCTCTATGGCACGGGCATTTGAGGTGTTAATCAGGAATTGGTTGCTAGCTCCAATTTCCATGAGAGTGTCTCCTCTAAGGTTTCTAAGGTTCTGGTAGTTTGAGGTTTTACATTTAGGTTTTTATCCATTTAGAGTTGATTCTTTTTGTATGGTAATAGGTAGGGGTCTTATTTTAATATTCTACATGTGGTCAGCCAGTGTTCCCAGCACCATTGACTTAATAAGTTCTCCTCTCCCCAGTGGTTGTTAGTGGAGGCTTTGTCAAGGATGAGTTGGTTGAGAAATTGAAGTTTTGCTTCTGGAATCTCTATCCTGCTCCATTGGTCTATATGCCTGTTCTTGTACCAATACCAGGCAGTTTTGATTATTGTAGCCTTACAATAAAGTTTAAAATCTGGAAGTGTGATACCTTCCACTTTGTTTCTTTTGCTGAGGATTATTTTGGCTATTCGTGTCACTGTTTTTCTTAAAAACACTTTCATTTCTGGGAGAAGACCAGATATTCTTAAAATGTCTAGTAAACATTTTTGGTAAATGCTCATAAACAGTGCAATAACTGCTATGCACAATGCTTAAAAGAGTTAAGATTTAGTCCCTGTTCAGTCAGTTTGAATGCATTTCAAACAAACATTCTGTGAACAATCAAAAGGTAAGTGTATATTTAAAATATAAGTGAAAACATAGCAAGAAAAACAGTCAATTCTTTTGATTTTTTCCTTACATGAACATTTTAAATGAACCTTATAGTCATTGACAATTGCTAGTTAAATTCTAGAGAAATAATTACCAATCATGGGCATTATAATATATTATAATGATGTAAAATTTATTTTAAACAGAAAACTTTGCCCCTAAAGTCATATTTCGTTGCAAGGTGATAAGGCTACCAGGATGAAATAAATTTTGTAGAATCAGAGAATAAAGAATCTGAAGAGACCTTCCAGTTAATCCTACCATTCTACAAATATAATCTCCAGGACACATTTAGAGCATTCCAAAAAATAAAATGAAAGTCAATGTTCAGATTTTCTTTAATTTCATTTAGTATTGTGTTCTAGAACTTAAGAAATATTTAGCAAGAAAAAAAATTTTTCTTACAGCTAACCTTTGATCCTTTGGGTAATAAGTTAAATAAATATTTTTAAATTTTCATTTCAACTGGGATGGAAAAATGGCTGATCAGCATCCCTTCTGCTAACATTTTGTATACATGAACAGAGTACATCATTCTTCACATAGGCTTTTCTTTCCCAACCAATAAAAGCTCTTATTTCAGAGATTTGTGTGTGTGGTTAAATGTATGGAACACAAAATTTACCATGTTGACCGTTGTAAGTGTAGCCTTAAGTGTAACCCTTGTTTTGTAGCATTAGGTACACTCACACTGTGCACAGACATCACCACCGTCCATCTCCAGAAGTTTCCGTCTTCCCCTACTGACACTCTGTGCCCACTAAACACTTACTCCGCACCTCCTCCTTCCCCCAGCCCCTGACCCCACCGTGATGCTTTCTATCTCAATGAGGTTGACAACTGTAAGTGCCTCTTGTAAAGGGTATTATACAACCTCTGTCCCTTGTGTCAGGCTTATTTCACTTGGCATACTGTTCATGTTGTAGTACATGTCAGAATTTACTTCTTTTTTAGGGATGAATAACATTCATTGTATGAATGTGCTACGTTTTACTTACCTGTCCGTCCGCCAGTAGACTCTTGAGTTGTACCCATCTTTTGGCTATTGTGAAAAAATGCAACTGTGATCACTGGTATACAAATATCCGTTTCAGTTCCCATCTTCAGTTCTATTACACATATATTCGGAAGTAGAATTACTGGACCATATGGTAATTGTGTGTTTAATGTTTTTGAGGAACCACCACCCTGTTTTCCACAGTGACTAACAGCTGTTTTTAAAACTGTGACCATTCTATCTATCTTTTCCAAAGATTTTAATGTTTGTCTTAAAATGTGGTTCTCAAAACTATAAATCGTACTTCAAGCCTGTCCTGACCTATAGGATGGGATGCTATCTCTTCATTCCTATGTGCTGTCTCCTGCCACAGGCCTTGTCCTTTAAAAAAATGCTGAAATAATATTTGCTATCTTCTACCCATGCTTGATAGTTAGACTCACTTTTTTATTCTCAAGACCAGACACTAACCCTTACATACATCAAATGGGGACTAAAACGCAAGTACTTAGCTCAGTGTTTATAACTATCACCTTTTATATAGTTATGTGTACAGTCAAGTATCTGTATGTATATATAGCCTTTAAATAAAAATTTCCTTCCTCCAAAGTGCTACTGAGTAGTTACATGTTAACTTTTACGTAATCCACAAGAGGAACTATATTGGGTACACTAGAATATGCTTAAAAGCTTCTTTATTAGAAAATAGGTGATTCTGATTTCCAAAATCTGGCTTATGAATTCATTAAGGCTAAAGTGAAATGAAAGTTGTTACCTAGTTTTTATGAGCCTGGTTTCTATTTCCACAGGAAAGTTAAGTTGTAAATGTCGTGAATGTTTATTATCAAAATGCTGGGGGAAATTGTTACCATTCTTAAACCTTCCCATTCTTATTTTGCATCATATTTCTACCAGCCTTGCAGAGTTTAGGATCTGACACCAAAATCGTTACTTTAGTAACTTAGCTAATATTATCTTCCTTTCTCCTATGGCCATCTTTTTGACCTTTTTCTGGCACTTAAAGATCATGAATCCCAAAACAAGACAGGCTACAGGCAATTGTATATTTTATGTCGTTGATGTTGTTTGTAATCTCATTAGTGCAGAATAAATTAAATCTTAGAGATTAAAAATGCATTTTTATAATGTCTTAATTTTACTCTTCCACAGTTAATAAATTTGAAGTGAACTGTCTCATAACACTTTTTTATAACTTGGTTGGAGAAGGAGTAGAGCGCCCAGGCACGGTCATTGGACTAGATCGTAATGCATTTAGAAACATTTTGCATGTTACGTTTGGAATGACAGATGACATGATCATAGACAGAGGTAAGAGACACACCGATTCACATTGGCCAAATCCAGCCATACCTGAAAAATAAAAGGTTGGAGCTTGGACATACTCTTGGTGGGAGGCTTAATGTTCTGTAGTCCTAATTTCACTTGAATATACAAATTTAATTTTGCAAAGATCATACAGAAAAAGGTAATATCCTTGTTATTTTGCATATTTAAGAAGAGGACAAAGTCATATTGATCAACTGGGTTTTCTTTACTTTGTATCAGGAAACCTAAAACATTTTAATTTCTACTCAGCAAACATAATAAATGGAACAGTTTAAAAAGAGACTTAATGTTCTTATATCATAGAAAAGATTTTAATAAAAATTAAGATATAATCCTATTATCATGTAATAACATTGAGTAATGAAAATATAAAATGTTAGTATATCTGATATGATTAACACATTTTATACCAATTTATTATGTTATTAATACTGTTTAGTATATTTAGATATTCAATATTTTCTTTATTCCCACAAAGCATAAAGAAAACATTTAAATGTTTAAATGACAGAGTTTTCTGATATTATCATGTCTTAGTTTCCTCTTTTGTCAAATGAGGACACTGAACCATACAATCCTGAAGTTTTTTCTGAATTTTAATAGTGAGTAATATCTACAGGGTACAATGACTTACATTTGCCTATAATCCTAACACTTTGGGAGGCCCAAGCAGAAGGATCACTTGAGCTGAGTTTGAAGCCAGCCTGGGCAATGTAGTAACACCTCATCTCTACAAAAAAATTGTTTTAAATAGCCAGATGTGGTGGCATGTACCTGTAGCCCCAGCAACTCATGAAACTGAGACGAGAGATCTCCTGAGCCCAGGAGATGAGACAGCTCCTGAGCCCAGGAGTTTTAGAGTGCAGTGAGCTATGATCATGCCACCACATTTCAGCCTGGGCAACAGGGCCAGACTTCTACTCAAAAAACAGTAGTAAAAACATTTTTTAAAAACTCTGCATAATGTCAATGTAGATGCATGATTGGGAATTAAAATGCAACACAAGTATTACATTGTACCTCTCTCTTTAGTATTCCGAGGTTTTGACAAAGACAACGATGGCTATGTGAATGTATCAGAGTGGATTAATGGATTATCATTGTTTCTTCGAGGATCTTTGGAAGACAAAATGAAATGTAAGATTGCAAGTTGTCCCGTTGGCTTGTACACTGTGATTAATATATCTAAAGAACTTAAATCAAGTCCTCCAACCCCAGCCAAGGAATTAGATTTGTCGGTCGGTCGGTTGGTTTGAAATCCTTTTAACCTCTTTTGTAGAATAAATTCAAGTGGATAAGAAATGAAAGAAAGTTAATAAAAAGAAAAAAAAAAGCAATTCTAATGAATATTCATGCCAATGAAGTCTGTATAGGCATTATCACACTTGTTAATTATATACATGTACATTTTTATATTACATATTTTACATATTTCATTACTTGAATTGTAACCATAAGACTAGAGAACATTGATTCAACTGTTCTGATTCTTAATTAAATCTCAATTCTAATGAGCTCTGCTTAAAAGTCATAGTTCAATCAATTTTCCAAGAATGTGAAGATGAAAATGTCCAAATTATTGTTCCTTGGTTTTGTTTTGTTTTTTGTTTTATTTGTGGCAACTGAGTATAAGGAAACATTTTCCTAAGGATTGTTTAATATATTTACCAGTGTATATTGTCATTTGCTATGAAAGTCAGGTTGCACCAAGGCCTTTGGGGTTCTAGCTTAACAAGATAGAACTTGACTTTGAAAACTTTGTCAGAGAAAATGTTACCTGAAGTGACAGTATCATCAGTGATACATCAGTGATTGAATTCACACTTTATCTTTTCTAAAGATTGCTTTGAAGTGTTTGATTTGAATGGTGATGGGTTCATTTCCAAAGAGGAAATGTTTCACATGTTGAAGAACAGCCTCCTCAAACAGCCATCAGAGGAAGATCCTGATGAAGGAATTAAAGATTTGGTTGAGATAACACTTAAGAAAATGGTAAGTATGATTAATGTCGAGTTTTATATTTAAATGTATATGCCAGGTATGGGCTAGAAGGAAGAATTCAAATCGTGGTAGTTTCCACTTTCCTGCTCGCCTACCTAAAACCTTTGAGTTATGGTCTTCATTATAATGTTAATAATTCTCTTCTATTTTGCTACCTAGTTTGACTATGAAAAGAGTGTGTCTTTGCAGTAAGCACTTTGCACGTTGCCTAATGTGTTACTGGCCCCCCCAGGACCATGACCACGATGGAAAACTGTCTTTTGCAGACTATGAAAAGACCGTGAGAGAGGAGACTCTTCTGCTAGAGGCTTTTGGACCATGTCTCCCTGATCCGAAGGTACTGACAGGACTTTTGCTGAACCCTGGCCAAAATAGAATCTGAGACAAATAGCCCAGACCTTCTTGGTGTGATGAGTGGTGGATCCGGCCAACCCCGTCCCCTCCTGGAGACTACCTTCTAAACACAGAAAGCCCGCTGAAGAGGAGCCCACTGGCTCACTTCATAATACTATTGCAGCTCCGTGCTGTGTTTTCCTTCATTAACTCATTCATTCACGTTAGAAACAATTGGTGAGCTCTCCTGTGTGCCAGAAGCACAGATTAAAGGCTCAATGGCTTCACTCAAGGGCTCATATTTTCCAGGGAAAAGCCAACATGAAAATAATTACACAAGAGCATGATAAACGTTATTATAATGATACTTAATGACTCGTAAGAGCCTCGTCTGTTCCCGGCGATGTCATAAGCACTATGCCCCGTATTGCCTCATTTAATCCCCCTAGCAACCTTATAAAATAGGGAGAAGTATTATCCTCATTTTACAGATGAGGAAACTGAGCCTCAGAAATTTTAAGCAACTTGTCCAGGCTCACTCACTAATTGGTGGAATACCCTGGGTACCCTGGTGCCAGAGTCACAGTGATATCTGTAGAGAGTTGTGATCGCTGAGAAGGAGACACCTAATCCAGCGGTATGAAAGGACTGGTGAATGGCTGCTGGGACAGGAAGGCTTCCTGGAAGAGCTGGGTTTCAAAAGACAGATTAGCCAGGTCAGAGGGGGCAGGATAATCTAAGCCAAACAAACGGCCTAGGCGCAAAAGAGAGAGAGGGAGAAGGAAAGAAATGGAACAAAGAATGCAAATGAGTCTGTATCGGAAGAGTACTTGGTGTGGTTGGAGGTTGGTAATGAGACTGCAGACATAGGAGGACCAAGTCCTGTGACACTTGGAGCTTGGGTTTTGTCTTGAAGGGGATGAGACTTCATCGAAGGATTTTAAGCAAGTGGAGTAATGTGATACATTAATATTACTATTCCCCCTGGGCTCCAGCTTGTATTTCCAGCCATCTGGCTCAACTTGTCCACTTAGATGTTATCAACGAACTCTTGGGTTTCCCCCAAAATTCACCCCTTCCTCCGTCTTCCCTGTCTCAATAAATGGCAACCCCGTACACTCAATTGTTCCATCAGAAACCTAGGGACCATTTTTAATTTATCCCTTGTAGCACTATTTGCTATTTCTCCAAAATATACCCTTGAATATAACCTCTTCTCTGCTCAACTGTTGGGCACAACCCTAAATCAAGGAGCTGTCACCTAGCCTAGCCTGGTCATCAGCCTTCTTGCTCCCACTATTGTCCCGTACTGACTTTTCTCCTCAGTATCCAGTACATTCAAATGCAAATGCTGTCATGCATTTCCCTTGTTCAAAACCTCCTGATAGGTTCTGAACTTGACACAGTTGGCCCCTTCTCTCTCTGTCTCCAACCACACCTTCTACTGTTCTCTCTGACTCCTGAAGCCACAGCAACCATCATGCATTCCTCCCTCCATGCCTCTGCACTTGCTGTTGTCTCTGTTCAGAAACCCTTCCTCAGATCTTCCATTGCCTCAGTCTCTGCTCTGCTCAAATGCCTCTTCCTCACAGAGTCCCATCTTTACAATCTTCTCAACCTTCTCCAGCCCTTAACCTTACTTTCTTCTTAGTTTGTTTTATTACCTAAAATATGTTTACTCATTTGGTTGCTGTCTGTCTCACTACAGAGATGTGAACTCACTGAGGTCAGGAACTCAGTCTTTTTCTTTGCTTACTGTGTTCCCCATATTCTGTGCGTAGTGCATGGCAGGTGCCTAGTAATGATGGATGGATGGATGGGTGGGTGGGTGGATGGATGAGAAGGTGGATGGATGATGTATGGGTAGGTGGGTGGGCAGATGGATGGTTGGGTGGGTGGGCGAATGGCTGGGTGGGTGAGTAGGTGGATGGTTGGATGGATGGATGTGTGGATGGGCGGATGGATGGATGGATGGATGGATGGGTGGATGGGCGGATGGATGGATGGATGGGTGGATGGGTGGATGGGCGGATGGATGGATGGATGGGTGGATGGGTGGATGGGCGGATGGATGGATGGTTGGAGGGTGGATGAATGGTTAGATGGATGACTGAGTGGATGGATGGATGGATGGGTGGGTGGATGGTGGGAGGGTGGACGGGTGGGTAGATGAGTGAGTAGCTAGATGGGCGGGTGAGTAAATGGGTCTCAGCAGTGCCTGATGAAAAGTTCTGGATCAGTCTCCTTTCTTCCCCTCAGGAACTACTTCATGGCTTACCTTTACCTTTACCCCACATCTTCAACCTATTCCTTTTCTAGTAAAACTTTCCCATTAGAATTTTAAAGGACTCAAAACCGTCTCATCTGAAAAGCAAAATGAAAGGAAGGAGGAAGGAAAGAAAAAGAGAGAACTTATCTTAATTTCACACCTACTTCTATTTCCTGTTCCATGGCTTTAATTGTCACAGGCAAGCTTCTTGAAAGAGCTGTCCAGATTTAAGGCCTGCACTTCCCTTACTTCCTCCTGTCTATCCCCGAATCTGCTACTGCCAAGGTCACTCGCCTGCCTTGGTAATATATCCTGTGAATGCTCTCGAGTTCTCATCTTACTAGACCACATCCTACCTCACCCCTGGCTCTTAATCTGTCTTCCCCTCCTGCAGGGAGTGTCCCCTTCCCACCAAGGCCTAGCTGTGCCCTGATTCTTCCCCCTGAACCCTCCCAGAGTTGACTGTGTGCTTTTCCTGCTGCAGCCCTTTCGGCTCTGACGTATCCTCACCAGTTTCTGGCCAGTCTCCACTATCAGCATGGACACTCCTGGAGAGTGTGATCATGTGGTCTGTATACAAAACACGCATGAGCACCAGAAGGTCTGCCCATTCTCCCTTGGTTGCCCTATCTCTATACACACTAAGGATACACACAGAACATTTTGTGTTCTACCTGATTTGGAAGTCTGTACTAAGTTGAACACTTTTACTTTACAGAGCCAGATGGAATTTGAAGCTCAAGTATTCAAAGATCCAAATGAATTTAATGATATGTGAATACGTAAATGTCTGTATTATCTTAGGTGAGTAAAATAGGAGGCACATATATATGTTTGTTTGTTTGTTTTACTTTTTCTATTTAGCTCAGAAGGATGATGTTGAGATGTTTGTTTGGGGGTGGGAATGGGGTTCGCTTACATATATTTAGCTCCAGAGTAAATTGCAAGTAAAACAGATGGAAGATAAGAAGCTTCTTTTAAGATGTGAGGTTTGGCAAGACAAGTTAACATTTCTAGAGATATTTGATCATATAGACTGTTAAAGCACATAGCTGGCATAAAACATTTGGATTTATTAAAGGAGTGAAGAGGTCATACAATCATGAATTATTAATACTAATATATTCTTCATATCAGAAAGAAGCTGGTATACATTGAAAAATCATTGAAACTACTGAATTTCCTTTGAAACAGTAAATAATTGAGATGGCATCAAAAGAATAATAATACTAGCATTTAGCATTAAAACACCTTTCTGCTAGGCATTGAGGGAGATACAGAGATGAAAGATATTTGGTACCTATTTTAATATGATTTATGTTATTGCTTGAAGCTTCACCTGAAAAACCTCTAGGTTGTAAGCATCTAAGGGCAGGGGTTTTAATCCATGCACCTTTAAATCTGCCATAGCAATTAGTGCTTTGTGTATAATTGACCCTTTATAAATACCATGGATTGGATTGAAAACGAAAAGTACCAAAAGACAAATGCAAGCTCTTTGTGAGCAGAGGAAGAGGAACGTACTGTCAGTTTTAGGTTTCTTAGGCTTGATGGCTGGTATATGGACACAGCTTTCAGTTTGTCTCTGGAGTTCTTCTAGACAGCCCCTTGCCCCCACATTTCAGAGAGTTGCCAAGGCCCCCTCTGTCATGGCTACCATGCCCCTCCACCCTAACCCCGTGCTTTGCACCCATGCCACTGTCTGAGTTCGCCAAAGTGTCCCCATCCCCCGACATCCCCTGTGTACCCCACTATCAGGGATTGTATCACATTTTGTCCTAACTATGCCCACCAGCTATGAACTCCTGAAGACAGACCTGATTTCTCCTTGCATCCAACAGCAGGTGTTCGTGAGCATCCTGAGAAGTCGGGGAGAGACAGGGCCTCATTCGATTTGAGTGAGCCACTTTCTGCCTTCTGAGTACACTCAGTAAGCAACTGAGAGAAGTGTTACACAACATTATTCCATTTATATATAAAAATTTAGAGGCCACTTGGGATAGTCAACCTCCTTTCTTACAACATATGCATTATTAAGTTTAAGTAAAAGAGTGCATTGTGAAAAATAATGGACGAATACTAACAAACGGAATAAACAATCCTGTGAAACAAAAGAAAAGAGATTTTACTGTGCAAGTATTCTCTCAAAATTTTAGATTCTTAGCAGATGGACTTTGACACGATTTTCCTACCTGCAATAGGTATCACTAATGCACTTTTACTTGTTTTCACCCTTATTGGGAGATAATTTAACCATTTAAAATCGTGTATATCTAGGTGCAGGGTGATGTTTCGGTGTGCATCTACATCATTATATAATCATCTCGATCACGTGAATTGATGTCGATTACCACACAAATTTATCATTTTCTCTCTCCTGCTATGAATTTCACCATTACAGATCCCTCATATAAGTGAGATCACACAGTATCTGTTTTTTTTCTGTCTGGCTTATTTCACTTTTTTCTGTCTGGCTTATTTCCTCCAGGTTCATTCCTGTTGTCAGAAGTGAAATAATTTCCCACTTTCCAAAGCCTGAATATAGCAATACATTGTGCATGTATGTGTATGATATATGTATGTACACACATATACATGCACATGTTCCATATTTTCTTTATTCACTCATCAGTTGACAGATGTCTAGATAACTTGCCTATTTTGACCACTGTGAATATGCTGAAATGAACCTATAAGGACGCAGATGTCGCCTTATGACAGTGATATTGTTTCCTTTGAATATACACCTAGAAGCAGGACTGCTGAATTATACGGCAGTTCTATTTTTAATTTTGTGGGAAATCTTTATACTGTTTTCCATAATTGCTGTATTAATTTGCATTCTCACCAAGAGTACACAGTTTTCTTTTCTCCACATCTTAGCCAATGCTTGTTATCTTGTCTTTGTTATAATAACCATCCTAAGAGGTAGTGTCATATCATAGTTTTGATTTGCATTTCCCTGATGATTACTGATATTGAGCACTTATTCATATGCCTGTTGGCCATTGGTATGTGTTTTAAAAATGTGTAGTCACATCCTTTGTTCATTTTTAACCACGCTTTTTGTCCTTTTGTTGTTAAATTGTAGGAGTTTCTTGCATATCTTAGACATTAATCACTTATCTGATTTAGGATTTGCAAATATTTCCTCTGATGGCTGCCCTTTCACTGAGGATTGCTTCCTTTGCTGCGCAGAAGTCTTTTTAGTTTGATTCAGTTCCACTTGTTTATTTTTGCTTTTGTTGCCTGTGCTTCTGGCATCATATTAAAACATTTATTGCCAGACCAATGTCATGGAGATTTTCCTCTGTTTTATTCTAATAGCTTTACAGTTTCAGGGCAAACATTCAAGTCTTTAATCCATTTTGTATTGATTTTTGTGTATGGTGTGAGGTAAGGGTCTAATTTTATTCTTCCAATGTGAATATCCAGTTTTCTCCACACCATTTATTTAAGTCTATCTCTTCCCATTGTGTATTCTTGGCACTTTTGTTGAAGATCATAGATGCCTGGATTTATTTTGGGCTTTGTCTTCAGTTTCATTGGCCTGTGCATTTTTATGCTAGTGTCCTGCTATTTTGATGAGTGTAGCTTAGTAATCTATATGAAGTCAGGAATTGTGATGCCCCAGCTTTGTTTTTCTTGCTCTAAATTGCTTTGGCTATTTAGGGTCTTTTGTGATGACATAGGAATTTTAGGATTGTTTTTTCTCTTTTTGAAAAGAATGCCATTGGGATTTTGATAGGGATTTTATTGAGACTTTGGACAGTGTGGACATTTTAATGATATAAAATCTTCTAATCCATGAATAAAGGGAATATCTTTCCCTTTATCTATGTTTTATTGATTTTCCTTCACCAATGCTTTTATAATTTTTCAGTGTACAGATCTTTCACCTCTTTGATTAACTTTATTACTAAGCATTTTATTTTTGCTGTTGTTGCAATTGTAAATGAGATTTTTAAATTATTTTTCTCTTCAGATAACTTGTTTGTATATAGAAATGTGACTGATTTTTCTAAGTCAATTTTGTATTCTTCAGCTCTAATCTGAGTTCTGATCAGTTTCTTTTCTTATTTTTCAGTCTTCAGAGTTTCCCACATATATGATGATGCCATTTGCAAACAGATAATTTTACATCTTGTCCGATTTGAATGGCTTTATTTTTTTTTTCTTGTCTAATTGTTTTAGCTAGAAATTCCAGTACTATGTTAAATAGAAGTGGCAAATAGGAGCACCGTTGCCTACCAACTCTTGGAGATTTCTTGCCAGATTTTAGTGAGAAAGTTTTTCATTTTGATTATGATGTTGACTGTGGGCTTTTCATATACAGCCTTTATTGTGTTGAGGAAAGTTTCTAGTATAACTGTTTTGTTTAGAATTTTTATCCTACGAGGTCTGACTATTAAGTTTGTGAACTCATGCTAGAAAAAGTGCTCCATCCCTCATGGCTGAATATCACCACAGCCACTTTAGAAGTCCTCCCCTTGGGAAGCTAGGCACCGACGCCAGCGCCTAGTTCACCCATCAAAGCTGCTTTGGAGCTCTTTTTCTGGAAGGGTCATCAGAATTGTCAGTGTATGGCCCTTGACACCCTGAGTGTCATCAACATGTCTTCCTTTCAGTATTTCCTTTATCTTTGGGTAAAGAAAAAAGTCATTGAGGGCCAGATCAGGTGAATAGGGAGGGTGTTCTTGTACAGCTATTTGTTGACTGGCTAAAAACTCTCTCACAGACAGTGCTGTGTGAGCTGGTGCGTTATTGTGATACAAGAGTTCCTTTGGTACCATTTTTGCACACATCTTTCTCATGCCAAGATTTTCAGTTGCGAGCTTCCTAACTGTTCCTCTATCAACGTTTATTTGGTCTGCTGTGTTTCTCGCAGTCAGCTGATGAGTCTGATACACAATTTGACAAATTTTTGCAATGTTTTCATAAGTTCTGCTCATTACTAGCTGCCCTGACCTCTCTTCATCAGTGATGCTTGCTGTCCTCTCAGAAAAACACTTAATCCATTTGTACACTGCCATTTTTTTCATGGCATTATTCCCATAAACTTGAACTAATATGTCCCTGATTTCACTTCCACTCTTGCCAAATTTAACAAGAAATTTAACATTTGTTCATTGCTCTAATTCAAACGCCAACATTCTTGCAATGACACACAAAAACATGCAACAACAATAATGAATGCCACTCAGCAAGACACCGCCACACAGCAACACCAACACAGCTGTGAGACACTGAAATACCAAGGTTACAAAACCTTACCGAGTTGCTTGTGCAGTACTGCCAACGTAAGCGCTTCATGGCACGTTCACAAACTTAATTGTCAGTCCTCATAAATGGATATTAACCTTTGTTAAATGCTTTTTTCTGTGTCTGTTGAGATGATCGTGTAGATTTATGTCTTTCTTCTTGCTAATGTGTTGTATCCCATTGATTTACATATGCCTGATCATCCTTGCATGCAAAGGACAGATTCCACCTGGCCGTGCTGTTATGATCGTACTGTTGAATTCAGCCTGCTAGTACTTTTTTCTTTTTTTTTTTTAGTTGGAGTCTCACTCTGTCGCCCAGACTGGAGTGCAGTGGCCACTCCCGGCCACC